ACTACATCAACAAGGTGAACAACATCCTACATGACGCCAGAGAATTTCAGAGAATACCCAGAGAAATATATATATTTATATATATATATATTTCACACAGGTCTGAGGCCAGACTGTATGCCAAATAACTCATGGTACAATAATCTTCATAAAGAGAAAAGCGTTCCATGATTTGTATATGGGCCGACTACTCTCAGGTTGCCCAGGCCAAAGCAGGTGAATGTTCCTGAGGAATCCAAAACCGGAGCCTTTGGTTAGTCAAAGCCTGACCCACAAGGTAGCGGGGCGGTGTGTGAAAACCTCAATCCATTGGGAGCCGGTGTCCAGTTCCTCGGATCATACGCCCTTTGGACGGGGTCAAACTTCCAAGGTGCCCAATAAACCTTGATGCCCAATTGAGCCGGTGAACGTGGCCACAACCGGGAAGGTATGTGTGTTTCGTTCGCCTCCTCTTGGTTGGTTTGGAATCAGGTTTTTGGCCAACTCCCCTAGGTGAACTACCAGTGGTCCACCAACCTGGTTGTAGCCCCGGATGTTGGCCTTTTGTCCTCTCTCTTTAAGGGACTAACACCTCCGCCACGAGAAGACAACAGAGAGTAAGATAAAACAGAGCAAACCGAAAAATCACTATCGAAAATGCTCTAGTGCCTAAAGCAGAGGGATGTAATAGACACGGCCACATTTGAACAAATACGAACAACAAGAACGATGATCCCAAGACTCCATGGCTTACCGAAGATAGAAAAAGATGGAGTGTCTCCCCGAACGATCGTTTATATATGTAACCCCACTTACCATACCATGGCTAAGTGGCTGGTAGAAATGGTGGAACCCGTGAAAGCACAACTCACCAATCACACATTCAAGGATTCTTATGATTTGGTGACCAGAATTAAAGACTCAAATGTAAACGGATTAGGTAAAATATCCCTGGACGTCAATTATTTCTTCACAAACACATATGCGACCACATGTAAAGCAATAATTGTGAAATCGGAATACAATTGTTATACTTGTGAGCACATAACATACGATTTAACTTGAACGTAGTTTATCGTCAAGTAGATGGGGCATCAATGGAGTCTCCCCTGGGTACACTTTTCGCAGATTTCCTTTAGGCTAAGCTAGAGAATTACATCCTCAAACGAACAATGGATCGCTGTGCTTTGTACAAGTGATACGTGGGTGACATTTTGTGTTTTATCGATGACAGTTTAAACCCGTCAAGACTCAAAAGTATTTTACTCAGCAAATTGAAACATAAAGTGCACTTTATAGAACGAATAGATTTAGCAGATTGAGCTTCTATTCAGCACACTATCCACAGGAAGCCATTGTGGAGTATTCAGTGTATCCATTTCAAAAGCTACGTACCATTGGAACAAAAAATACCTGATTTAGCGCCTGGCTACCGGAACGCAGAGAATGATACCGTTGAGAGCAAAGTGAGGTTTATCCGAGAGGTTTTCCCTCACAATGGATACCCAGAACGATTCGTGGAAAACATTTTGAGGTGTCAGTGGTTGCTCAAAACGGTCACTACCGTTGAGAAGAAATCGGTTTGTATATCACTACCTCTTAAGGCTGACACAACTATCCAAATCATGACACGTTAGCCAAGGGCAGCTGTAGAAAAAAATTCCTCGCAGCAAAAATTTGCAATGTATTAATCTCCAGGCCACGTTGGCTCTTTAAACTCAAGGATAAATTGCCCGTTTTTGCAGTCTCTGTGTACTTCTTTACTCGTTTTTTGGGGCAAGTTATATGGATTGCACGGGCAGACGTTTATCTGAACGACTCCACGAGCACCACCCGGTCTGGCTGAATAGCGGGGTTATTGGGACCATCAAGAGTTCGATCGTTTCACACCTGGTGGTTGATATGGCCTAGGCGTTTTGACCCAGCTACTTAGCGCGCACCCGCCGATCTAAGGGGATTAGGAGTCTCATTATGGTCATAGCGAAAGCAATCGGAATCCGCCTACGTAATCCCCCCCCCAATGCTCCCAAAACTCGGTCTTCCATGGTCAACACACTCGGTACAGTAATCCTCTCATCCACTCCTAATGACTCGAGCCAATGCGTATGTGTGGTGGTCAAAGTGTGAGCAACCTTCGGTCATGGAGCTGGAATACTGATTATTTGTCTTCTGATTTTGTTATGTTTTCTCCCTCTACTATTTTTCGACATAAATTTTGTTGCATTAGTCTGTAGCTGAATTATCATAAACGAGCTTGTTCGCTACTGTGTGTTCTTCTTACAATAAATGTAATCAATCTGTTCTGCGATTCGTTACCCTCTTTCAGTTTGTTGGAATCACAAATGATATGAATGCGCTTCCGCAATTAAGCTCACTTTACATTATGTTATTTTTTCAAATCTTGACCAAAACTTGAAGGTGTTCCAACTTCAATCGCGTTCAAAAAATATCACCTTCTTCATCATCGGTATCAAGGTGATGATGAATTGGATGTGGATGTACCAACTCACTTTGAAGGACATTGGTTCAGAACATCAGGAATGAAATTTGTATGGCTGATTTTGCAACCCTTCTTCTACAGCTTGAGGCCTCTTATCATACTACCTCTCCCTTTGTCAACACTTGAAGTGAGTACTTGGTCGTAAAAACCTATCCTCTCTGTTTCCTCGTTTGTTCCGTACGTGATGCAATCACTTTCGGGTAATTCGAAATGTTCGTAGCACAAGTTGACAAACGTGGAATGACGTACTGATTTATCATATTCATATGTGGGCACGACCGCTACTGAAGCATTGATTTAATTTTATACATCTCGGTTTTGCATCCAGTGACATTGATCCCTGGTTTGGAAGTTGGGCTGAGTGACCATTGGGCCCATTGGCACTTTTAGGAGATCAAACCAATCAAACGTGGTCCGCAGCCGACCATTCCTACTATTTTTCCTGCTCAAGACGTTGAATTCATTATTAACTAAAAGTATACTGACTTTACTACGATTTAGAAGTAAGCATTCTTTATTAAGTGTCATATAGTTTTTCTTTTGAAGGAACTCTTTTATCATCAAACTCCTAATAACAACTGGTTCATAGGTGTTCGTGTCCTGAAAGCATTATTAACCCTTGACTATGAGCGTTCGGATTCTTCTACAATTTGAGTAGACACTTGATATCACTCATCACCCTTACTAGTCTACAGGAACCCGAATTTTAACCAGGCTCATTAGACCTGATTTTTCTCAATGCAGAAATATAAAACGTCGTTTTCAGTTGAATTATTTATGCTCTTTATTCACGAACCCTTCACGGGTAATTAGGATTTTCAAGTGTGTTTTGACTAGAAGAATACGAACAAAGTGATCTATCGCTCATGGTTGTTGCTGTTTATAGCAATAGTTTCACATTTCAGTTTCCGATGTTTACAACGAGACCTGCAATCTTTGAACTGAGATATGCACCCCTAATTTACAGCTTTAAAAATATCCAGCACTCACGCAGTTAATTCACTTGATCATATAATTCTCAAAATACGGTGAAAATTTTTGTCAATCCGTGCCAATTTAACCTTCAGTGCACACAGACTTTGCACACTTCTGTGCACCATAACAAAATTGTTCGCAACGTCCACACTTGTTTTGGTCATACTGTACACTTTGGACGACAGCTGAACTAAATAGATTCATCTTTCTCAGTTGATATACATGGGGGCGAATCAATATTGCCGGGTTGTGCAATGCACAGATAGCCTGAGCGATGATTTTGATGCTGCACCGACTAAAGATAGTTCGGTGTTGTTTAATAAAAATTCTCTGAAATCAATGTGCTCTGGTGTTCCACTGAGTTCTGGTGATTTGGAATCGATATGAAATTTTGTCATTCCGCGCGATCCCCGTCACCGAACGTATTGATTCACAATTCTCACAGTTGCCATGCAATGAGCATTTTCTATCTAGTTTTAGGCAATAATGAGATATAGCACCAGTTAAACATGGGGTTAGGTTTTTATTATGGAGCATGGCTTTTGACAATTTTGTTTGCTTTAAATGTTTTTGTTTCATGTCAATAATCGGAATGTGTGCATTATAGATGAGAGACCTGAAAATGGGTGCAAACCGCGTTATGACAATGATTTGTTATGCTAATCTTCACCGAAAAACCTAGAAATGGGATCCACTATACTCTGAAAAATATACAGCTTCGAAGTATTTAAAATTGCATTTGATTCAGCGTCCATTGATTTCATCTCTCTAGTTTTATATTGAGTGTTTGTGAGAAGCTAACCGAGTGTAAATAGTTCTCAACAGAGCTTGAACGCAGACTCATACTCAACACTTAAAATCTACAGGCAAGTATTTAATCACTTCCATGATCTTTAATTTCAAGTATGATGATGATAGTTAAGTGCGAGAGTTACTTCGAGTGGACAAGATATAAAAAAGCAGTACTGCTCAAACTGTGAACCGATCCATGTGCCTACGCCAGGATTATACCTTCCTACGTTCAGCGATCACAACGTAGTACATTCAGATTACGCCACATTCTCTGTAATTCTTCAAGATGCAGCAGCTGACTCTAACAATTACCCATGACCTGCCTTTGCCATAATTGTGCAAAATAATTGTTTGGAAGATTGAATTTTTTATGTTGGGATTATGAAAAGTTCATTAGCCTCAGTGGGATTGCAACTCACGCATGGACGCCGCCTACGCTTTTGTACAGCGCTCACTCTACCAGTTGAGCTACATGGTCACACCGATAGCGCTGATCTTTTCATAATTGGTTACATGATTGGTGGTATCTTCTGGCCAACCGCATGTTTTCTCCGTTCTTCCCACGTTCTGTTTGCATAGCTAATCAATATTGTTGTCCAGTTCACCTTCAATTCCTGGGTGGTTTCCACTTTCGGTTGGAAAGCCTTGCTTTACCTCATCATTGGCACCTTGTTAGCCATGGGTGTTCATCCGGTCGCCGGGCATTTTATCTCGGAACATTTTGTATTTGACAAAACGTTCGAGACTTACTCGTACTATGGCATTCTGAACCTGGTCACATTCAATGTGGGTTATCACGTGGAACATCATGACTTTCCATATATTGCCGGTTCGCGCCTACCCATGGTGAGTAGCACAGTTTGTTTTACTATTCCACGAAATATATCACTATATTGACAAAGTTCGTTGGTCACCTGTTTTGTTTCGATTAAAAGTTCAAATGTATGCAAACATGCGTTGTCCATGAATTTACGTTTTTCGTTTGTTCCTATTGGTTATAAGAACGTCAAGTTCGCAATCTAACACAGACATGTCATGTTACATTCAGTATGAATATGTGATAACAAGCTGCAGGCTGGATAGTTATAGATATTTTTTAGGTCACAAATCTAATAGCTTCAACAAGTGAAACGGGTGAGGCCTTATGGCTCACCCGTTCTTACTTTGTACCTTGTGGACTCCGTCATGACTAGACTACACTCTGACATGGAGTGATAGCTTGTATGCTTCCATGATCACGCGTCTTTTCATAGCCGCTGATCCAGTCATGCCTGAAAGGTAAATATGTAGAGGCCAGATGAAGCTCACTTTTACAGGGCCGCCTTCTAGCTGGGATGAGGATTTTCGTTGGTCAGACGCTAGGAGATATGGCCCAGAATAGATCTCAGTGGTGCGAATGCTGTACGGCTTACCTGTTGAAGCCTCGTGCCCTATAAAGAAATCGACAAACTAACATAAAAATTTCAAAGTGTACGGTGAAACACAAAAAACATTGTTACCGCATTTATTTGTAATTTTCCATTGTAACAGTTCACTCTTATTTTTACTATGTTCTGTATCCCAAACCCCTCTCCCGTTATTTTCATTGTTATTATTGTTGTGGTGTTGGCACCATGCTTGTCCCCAAGCCGGTGTTATATATATATATATATATATNAGCACGAGGAGGAGCACTTCACCGGTCAAACAACACCCCCATTAGATTAAAGAAGGAGCGAGATACCTGAGGCTTCTAATCGACAATGGAAGAATTCTTTGCACTTCTTTGGACAACTGTCACCCACCAAGCTAGGCAGCTCCCAACTAATAAGCTGCTGTCACGTTCACCTTCCCCTTGTCCCACTGGACGCATGTGACTAAGAGCCAATCGAGAACATATGAGTGAGAACTAACGCATCAGTGAATAACAAACTGAATAGAAACGCAAAGGCCGTGCGTGAGAGGTCTCCAGATGCTCTCACACGGGTGCTTCGGTCCCCCTTCCGCATTGGATCTACTCCTCACTACCATGCGGGTCAAACTTTTGAGTCGAAAAATCCGGTTAGTGTGCCCAAAGTAAACCTCTTCACTACTAAGGGCCATCGCGAAGTATGTCGTACTCTAAATTTATAGCCACTCATTTGGGGAATCCCCTATTCCATTGGTCTAGTTCTTCCTTTAATTCCTAAATATTCTCAGACGCCTCTGGTTTGTCCCACTCATGGGATATCACTCAGAATGTAACCACTAAGGCCAAACAATCAGAAGTCATGTGATTTTTGAAGCCAAAATTCCCTTTTAACTTGCCTGCATTCAGTGTCCGCACACTCCATTAGGTCAGCCAACATGCTGCCATAGCTAGAATTCTTGACGTATATCGTCTCTCCGAAACACGTATACAAGACCCTATTTCAGTCATCTCTCGTCGTTATCCTGACCCAACCTCATGCTCGCGCTTCACACTTCGTGTATCAGGCGATTTGGCATCCGAAAGTCACGCTATTTCTGATGTGGGCATTGTGCTGATTGCTGATTTTAAAACTGATCAACTTCTGGAACACACACTCCATTCATTGACGCACCATCTCTGTCTTCCCTGATATGAAAGCGGCCTCGACTCAGTCGACCACTCAATACTCTGGCGCTGCTTATATCTGAAAAATGTACCCAAGAATTTCATTCCAGTTTTGCAATCCCTTTATCCGAATAGCAGAAGCCTAATCAGAGTTTACGGCACTTTGTCGCTCGAGTGGGATGCCAGAAGGCCGTGTTCGACTGGGCTGCCGCTTTCGATTCTCCTATTTTAATTCCTTAAAGAATTGATTATGAAACCAGCTCTGTCTTCTTTCGAGGATAGCGGCTTCGAGTTTCTTCGAAGTGGTAGAATATCTTATCTATAATATGCAGACTACATTTAGTTGCTAAGTGGTGATCCAGGTAATTCGCTAGCGTTTCCAGATAGTTTGGTTGCTAGTGAAGCTATGCCACGCCTGCATTTGACACCTTCAAAGTGTGAAATGTTGCTACAAGACACGGTTGATCTAGTTCCCGATCTCGCTCACTGGAGAAGTAATACAGCAAGCAGACGAATTTCGAAATCTGGGTAGCTATACCTCACCCGACGGACGTATCATGGATAAAGTGTCGGTAGACACAGAAACCTTGATTGACGTATGCCAACTCGAGACGTTTGTGGCTCCAGCACGATATCCCACTGCTCGTGTGGGGTTGAGTATGTACTGCGGCAGTTCGGCTAGTCTTGATATATAGCGCAGGTACTCGAGCATTACGAAAACAGGATAAAGATAGTATGTCAGTGTTCGAACACCGCTGTCTATGCAGCATTGCAGAAATTTGCGGAAGGCACGGGGTCCCAGTGCTGAGGTTGGGCGCAGAGTTTAGGCACACGCGGTCTCCCACTGGAGCAAGTGGTCGTCCTCCATAGATTACAATGTTTGGGGCATGTGATGCGCTTATCGCCAACTACACCGCCACGGTGAACAATGTCTGCCGAGGCCAGTCGTGGGTGGGAAAAGATAAAGGGTGATCGAAATAAGACCTGACATGAGGTTATGAAAACCCCAACCAGGATTCTTGGTCATATACGTCACGTTAGGCTGTCTGGTTGGGGACCTCGGGAACAATGTAATCAATGAGTGGCTACACTGAGTACTTTGGTTGAATACCACTTACCGTGGTGCTGGTACATCTTGCCAATTTATTCGCAACCTTAGTCTGCTGAAATTCTCCATCTTCTCCGCGACTCTGCTTTCAACTTTCCTATCTTCCCCTTGCTGCTTCAGGTAAATATAAATTGGTTGTAACTCTCCATTTTCAAAATTATGGCCCAGTCAAATTTCCGAACTGCGATTTTGACCCTTTGACTTAAGGGCCATATTCCAGGACTAGCTTTAGTACATTTTCCAAGTTGATGATCCTTAAAAAACAACCACGTTTATGACACCCAAGTAACTATAGCATCGAATTTTAGAATTTAAATAGTGTCCTGATAATCGAAATGACATTCGTTTGAGCTAGTAACAATTAATACTGATTGTAAACGTGATTTTTTTCTGTCGACCTGCCTTCTTGATGAACTGTTGCTACTATCACTTGCTATCCCATTGGTTACAACTATCACAAGGACTGGAATGAATAAAACAGTTGCATTTGATCGATCTAATCCATTTGTCATCTTCTACCTCCGTTTCGACGCGTTCCTTTCAGTTGCGCAAAATAGCTCCGGAGTACTACGAAACCATTCCACACCACGATTCATGGGTCAAAGTACTGTATGACTTTGTAATGTGCCCTGATGTTGGCCCGTTTGCCCGGGTACGTCGTCAACGGAGCAAAACAATGGGTAAAACCGTGACTATCGATACCCAAGACGAAGTCATCTCCGAATGAACGCGTTCCAGACTCGATCTCGGTCCCAACAGTTCCAAATGACCCGTCCGGGTGCATAATTTATTCGGACAACACATTATTATGTGATTCATACAATGTTTGTGTCATGATCACTCCTCTCTCATCCCGTGGTTCTTCACATGTTTAAGAGTGCTCGCTTCGCGTCGCTCACTCGGCCTCTGAAACACGTACCGAAACACCGAAAGCATTCCTTCACATCACTGGAAGCATTTTTTTGCCGTATCCTAATTTCTTCTTTTCCTTCTATACATGTAACCCAAAACTAACAGTTTTTTTACTTTTTACTACTTGACATTGTTCGTGGGCAGACAAATATATCAGGGTAGGTTAAATGGCCATCAGTCAACGACCTGAATAAAACCGATCAGTAATTCATTAGACAAAACTGAATTTCCCTAACAGATAGGAACAAAACGAATTCATCACTCTGTTGCAGTGAGATCTGGGTGCAAACTTGTGCTTCGGGGATGAAAGAATCGGTCAACAGATTTCGACGCACTCAAGGACAATATGCAGAGCGTCGTTATCTTCTGATCTACGGTGTGATAGACCCGCTTTTATACTTGTTACTGCATACGGAAGTCTTCGCTTGACTATACGGATCGGGTAAGAAGTGATGAAGAAAAAATAATTGTTGTCCATCGAATTTCCTAAAAGATAATCCGAATTAGTTTGGGTGTTGTGTTCATCGTCTTACAAAAGTCTATAGTTAGATAACACCGCTCGCTACCCAAGGAATCCATTTCGGTTTACAAAATAACTCACTAATCAGTACCGAAGATACCATTTGAAATGCGCTTTCTGAGTTATTCTTCAAAAATTGACTGAAGTGACCAATTGTTTCTGACAGGATTTGTTATCACTAACCACTGAGAATGTGTTGGTAGATGTTTACATATGAAGTGTGCCTGAATCAAAATCCGTCTGATTATTCAGCCTCGGATGAACAAGTTTATGTCAAGGCATCTGGACATACATTCTAGTCGCATTACTGAGTGTTCTTTTTCATTGCATGAGTATAGTAGTTACAGTACAGTTAAAAATTTCCGATAAGTGTGGAAGTATTGTGATCGGGAGGTTAAATTTGTAAGTTTTTGAAGAAACCCCGAATAATATCAGAACGAATGTACTGTGTTAAACTGCTCGTTTCAGAGAAGAAAAAGAGCGGGTTGCATGGTAAAACTGTGAAATTCGGGCTGCGGGTACTTTCAAATTGTTGCATTCTTTTCCGGAACACTTATCATCAGGTCTCCAGTAAGTGCTGTTATTGTCGTTGGTACTGTTATTCGCTCCAAATTAGTTTCAACCTTGAGATTAGAAACGGTTTATTCGTCGCCTATTATCAGGATACACCTGGAAGTAGCACACAATGCTGTTTCCCGCATAGACTGACAACAAGCTGAAAATAAATCAATCCGTGCCTGTTTGTCGAAGCACCATTAGACACTCGGATGTACCCAAACAAGACATTGTTCGCAATGTCCATGTTTGTTTTGGTCATATAGTACCGTTTGAAAGACAGATGAGCTAAATAGAATCATCTTTGCTAGTTAATGCATGCATGTGAATCGATACTGCCAATGTGTGCAAAGCATGGCTAATTTGTGGGGATGTCTCGATGCTGGATTAGCTAGATCTTTTGGTGTTGTACGATGGAAATTCGTTATAACTACCAGTGACTACCGGCGAGTTAGAACCGTTAAGAAAATCTACCTCCCTCCTCTGCCGCGAATTGTATTGATCCAAAAATCACACGTTGGCGTACCAGTAAAAAGCCTCCAAAATCAGAATATATATGGTCATCCAGAGCTGTACGAACCAATTGCAGTCGCGATTATCTCACTGGGGCATTGTTCTGTGCTTACATACTTTTCTCTGGCAGTTCTGGTTCATCCAAAGGCTCTTTTTCCGATGTTTTTCACAAAGCAATGAGCATTGCAAAGGAATTGTTTCACCAATGGCTGATCATGTGATTATTTTTTTGATTTTCAATATCTCATCCAATATAGATTACCAAGATTCGCTACTTAGGACATGTATTCTATGTACTCTTCTGCTGTCTACCGCAGCGCATTTAGGAGGAAATCACATGAAAGTCAATAGTTGATGTGGACAAGAGATATGAAGAAATACCCTGAGTGATTGGGTTCTCTCCTGTCTTCCACGTTCAGTTCAAAATACTTTGTAACGGGTTGGTAGAAGACTCTAAAGGGGGTGTTTGAAAAGGGAGAGCTCAGTTCAGTTCGGTTTTTACAACCGTTGACCATGCACTTTCGTGCGCCAGTTATGGTTCCTGTCTCATGACTACCTATTTAGATAAATAAACCGAAGGAAGATTGGATTGTTGCGAGCAGAGTCAAAGAGAAGATAGAGAATTTACATAGACTAAGGTTGCAAGAATAGTGAATGGATGCACAAGCGCCACTGTTCGCGACACCCAGCCATATCACTCAGTTTATCTAACCACCGGCTATGATGATGTCCCAGGTAGCCTAACGCGGTCTATGTGAGCAAATCACCTGGTAAGGTTTTTCATAGCCTCATGCCAGGTCTTAGTTTGGTCACCCTTTACCATTTTACATCCGCTACCTGCCTCGGTAAACATCGCTCGCCGTGGCAATCTATCTGATGATATGCGCAGCATATGTCCAACCAACGTAATCTATGGAGGTCGACTATTTGCTCTGCACCAAATCTCATCATTGTTTGTTTTATTTTCCCACCAGACTCATGCAGATGCAAGCAGCGGTGTTCAAACACTGAAAGTCAATCTTAATTCTGTTTTCGTAATGGCCTGGCATGAGGGTATAAAAATCCCTACCAGGAGACTGGGTTACAGGTTTCGTTAGGCTTTTTGGATAAGGACCCCGAGATCACCGTAGCCGGTGGTTTGACACACTGAGTGATATGGCCGGGTGTTGCAAACGGTGGCGCTCGTGCATCAACTCATTATTCTTGCAACCCCAGTCTATTTGAGTTCTCCATCTGCTCATCGACTCTGCTCTTATTCAAGAATATCAATCTTGATTCTGTTCTTTTATCCAAATCAGCAGCCAAAGACGGCAACCCAAACCGGTGCACAAAGTGCATGGTTAATGGTTATAAAAAGTTAAACACTAGATCCTTCACAGACAGACAGAGGTCGCAACGGTGCCACAAACGTCTCTAGTTGACCAGTGCCAATCGAGCCTTCCATGTGGGCCGATACTTCATCCAGTATAGATCCGCCGGGCGAGATACAGCTACCCAGATAGGAAAATGTTTACTTGTAAAACATCCTTTTCCCTTTATCCATTTCACCAACACCCGAAGGCATATGTGGGCAGAATTGATATTGAACATCAATTTCGCGTGCTCTCATTCAGCTGTAAACGCTCATTTATATGATCATATGAAACGAAGAGGCATAAGAGTTGAAATGAGTCATTTGAACAAAGTGGTGGACAAGTGATTTGAGTGATTTGTGTTTGGTTACGGGTTGAGGTCAATTACCATCCATTGCGATTGCCCTTCATTTGTTAGATTCCGGTCTCCATGTAGACGCAGCCAAAGCGTTTCGAGTCATTACGACGCCTCGAAGTTCACGGATTTTGCGATTCTTAGAAGCGATAATTATTCCTCGGTTCAAACCGCAATCATGTGTTCAAAATACACTTGTGACGCAATTGTTTTTGCCATGGTAGTGATGATATCACACTTGGTACCACCCTACCATGGCATGACGTGACATGACTTTCCGTCCCCCTCCCTAGTTCACCACATCGTTCGGACGAGTTCACCCCATATGAAATTTTGTCATTTTAGTTGACATCGACCCCTAACCAAAAACAAATCACTCAAATCACTTGTCCACCACTTTGTTCAAATGACTCATTTTAACTCTTATGCCTCTTCGTTTCACATGATCATATAAATGCGTGTTTACAGCTGAATAAGAGCAAGCGAAATTGATGTACAATATCAATTCTGCCCACATATGCCTTCTGGTGTTGATGATATGTTTGCTTGCTGTATCGTTTCTCCAGTGAGAGGTTGAGAGCTGCACCAACCCAGTCTTATAGCAATATTATGAACTTTGAAGGTGCAAAACGCATGCCGAATACGGCTACGCTGTCAAACAAAATACTAAGAACAGCTTGCCGCTTACCTGCATCTTCACTCATCAATATGATATTAGCTGCATACTCCGGATCAGAGTCTTCCACCTAGGAGCAGTTTGATGTCACTATCCTCGCACAAACTAGGACTGTTTTCCATAATTGAATCTATAAAAAAGTTAAATATGAAATGTAAAAGAGGACAACCCAGACGAGCACTGTGGTGATTTCGGGCGAAAGGGTGCCGTAATCCCGGACTCAGCAAATCAAAATGGATCTCTCGGGCACTTCCTTCAGATAGATGCAGCGCCAGAGTATTGATCGGTCGAATGAGTCAGAGGCCGCTTTCCTATCGAGAAAGACTGAGACGGCAGGAAGGAATGTCTGTGTTCCGGAATTTAATGGAGTGAGAATGTGGTTTATACAAACTCAATTAGCCCTAAAACCAGACAAGGTTTATTGAACTATTTCCTCTGTTTTTATTTGAATAACGGTCACCTTTCTTGAAATCTGTGAAATGGCCGACTCACAATTATCACCTGGAGCCTGTTCGTTCTCCAGTACCGACCCCAGGGGTTTTGGCAACTCCAAGGTGAAGGCCGAACCTCCATCCTTAAATGCCGACTGGGGCGGCGCATGTAGGTCGCAAGCCTTATAGATTTTCAGATAAATTGTTTACTAGCAAATCTCCATTTCAGACGATGGACTGACATCAACCGGGAGTACTTGCCCGGTTGGTGATGAGTTGACAGGGTAAATGTCGATAGGGATCAGTTGAACTGAGCCTCAAATCGCTCAGCTCATGGACCGAGACGGGTTTATGAGTGTGAATTATTGTGCTGTATGACTCCTGAGTTACCTCACGCCTATTTCTTGGCACCT